TCAAGTCCGACCGTCCCCCTCGGTCCGAAGGTGGGGCACAGGGATATCTATGGGGGGGCCAAGCCCCCCCGGCCCCTTCTCTGGCACCAGGCCTGTTTGCATAACACCGCCCAAATGTATACGCAAAGAAAGAAGGCGCAACTTTGATTCTTGCTGTAGTATTGTTGCCGCCGCCGCCATGTTGTGGAGACACTGTGTGTTTCATTGTGAAAGCGAAACTACTTTTGACTCACAGCCTGTAAATACGTTTTCATATTTAAAGGATTTGCCAATGACGATTCAAACGATTTTGAGCAGTGTAGAGTAGCGCTTGTTGTTTGTCCTTTTTCCGATCACAAATGCAGACATGGTTTTATGTTTACGTGGCGCGATACGCAACGCAACGCGTAAAAAGACAGTATAATTATAATCAGTAATTATGTCCCCACTGGATGCAACAAATGCCTCGTTTATAATGGGTTTTATTGGTTTTGTCTTGTCGCGCCGGGATTCGGCATCACAGTATGGTAAGGGACGTAACATCTCCGTCACACGCTTGAGGAATTCGGCCAATCACAACGCACTAGATAGCTGGCCAATCAGAGCACACCTCGCTTTTCAGACCGATGAGCTTTGTAAAAATCGACGCATTGCAGAAAGGCGGGGCATAGAGAAGAAACAATAATGTACATTTCATTACACCAAATATACAAAATAATGTTCTTTTTTAGCAACGTCATATGACCCCTTTAAAAAAAATACAAATAAAATACAAAATCCCAAACTTATATTATTCATGTATTCTTGTTTATTCTAAGTGAGTATTAGATGACATCAGTAATCTAAATGTAACAATGGGAAGAATGAGCACACACAATTATCTAATTTTAACTGATACATTTCAAATATCTCTAATATCAGTATATACACGGCATGAAGTAATTACAGCAGCTAACAATGCTAATGACATTAACCTCAACAATCTGACAATCTCAGAGACATTAAACGCAGGAACTCTTAAATCATAATTGTTATATCTGTACTACGTATGAGTCACCTACTTGTAGCCCAAATTCGGGTGATATCAGAGTATGTATCCTGCAGTATGGTTAGATTGCGTGGAGGTTGAGCACCCATGCATGAAGGATGGTTTGGGCTTTGCTGGCGTGATCTTCTGCCCCATGGATTGGCTGCATGTTTCTCTCCTCCCAGCTCAGTGCAAGCCTGCATGGTGAGCTGTCAAAGTTTATTACAGTCACAAACTTCCACGATCAATACAGCCTCATCCCGAGACATACAGCGAAAAGGAAGGATGGTGAAAGAGGAAGACTAGTACACTGAAAAAAGACACATGGGGCAGAGAGATCAAGGGTAGAGAATGTAGTAATAATTTGTTCATGCCTCTTTTGCAGCATGCATTACAAGACATGCAATCTCTGAGTGTATAGAAGTGCATAGTCAGCCACACTGTCAGAGTTTCATAGAGACATATTAATGAACCATTAAGAACATTGTTCTAATAAGCTGCAGACAAATCAACCGGTTAATGTTGGATCTGGTTAGTGAGCCCCTAAACGACTCTTTTAAAGAAAAGGCCTAGATTACACCCAATGGCATAGGGACAAAATCTGCTCTGCATTTACGACAAAAATTGTAAGCTTTTGAAGCTTTTGTTTTCTACAAGCTCTGGCAGAGAGACAACCTTTCTTGCTTTCTGAGCCATGAAAAGGTCCTAGGGTGTGGCAAAGCTTCCACAAGCCTTCATCTGGGGTTTTGTGTAGTTGCCAATCTGATTCTGTTGGCAGACAACTGTGTCACTTATGAGACAGCAGGATTTGTGTGGCTATGAGGCAGATGGAGAGATTTATAGAGCTGCTAAACAGGAAAATGAGCTGACAAAGCATGCTGAAATCAAGTCCAGTCTAGACTGCAATCAACAAATCTTTGTGAAATTATAGCCTGCTAATTCTTTAGCACATGGCATGTGATAGCCAATGAGGATGATGAAAAGAGTAGATAATTATATGAACGAATATATTTACAAAAACATTCACCCTGATATCTAAATGAGGGCATGCCACAGAGTTCTGTTGTTTTGTATATTAATAATTACTACAGACTGAACCAAAAAGAAAATGTACCCTCTACAATATTTTTATATGTGTAATATGTATAAAACCAATAATATGTATAATATTATAATAATGTCCATATTATATATTAATGTTTTAAAATGTAATTTATTTCTGTGATGGCAAAACTGAATTTTCAGCAGCCATTACTGCAGCTTTCACTGCCATATGATCCTTTAGAAATCATTCTAATATGCTGATTTGGTGCTAATTGTTATTATTTATTATTGGTGCTCAATTATTAGTAATTGATCTTCTTATCATCAGTTTTGAAAACAGTTTTTGCTGCTTATAGTTTTTTTGTGGAAACCATGATACATTTTATTTTTCAGAATTCTTTGATTAATATAAAGTAGTTACTGTCACTTGATCAATTTAATGCACCCTTGATAAATATTTTTTAAATATTATTTAATATTTAATAATATATATTTTCTTTCTTTTTCTTTCTTTTTTACCCCAATCTTTTGAATGGTAGTGTAAAGTAATCACTTTCTTCTTTTTTTTTTTTATATTATATTACATGTATTGTACTTATATTTATGTCAGGAGGATTTTGTCCCCAAAGTGTAGCTAAACAAACCCACACACACCCACACTCTCCATCTGGGCTTTGGCATATACTGACATGTGTATCTATAGACCACAAATAATTGTTTTTCCTATTGGATCACTGCACCCACAACATGCATGTCTGGTCAATTATTCAACTAAAGGCTATTGGTTGTTTTTTGCACCTGAGATGTTGCAAGACAACCCAAATCTATCTGCTTCAGCAGTCTGAAGCAGATCTTCAGTCCACATCTCATCATAGTTTAGCCCCCCTGAACAAATCCCCCATGCTCAAAAACACTGCTTAGGGTGCAAAAAAGCCTCTAAATGATTATTGAAGATTAAATGTAATGATGATTAAAACTGGAAAAAAGGTGGTAGGTTAGGTCTCAAAGTGTGTCTAGCAACACCACTATATGGAGCTAGAATGCGTAAGATGCATTTTGAGGGTGTGAGAAGAGCCGGATGACTTTGAAATTAAGCGGGAATACAGAATTTGTTTTCTGAAAGCTCTCAAAGCCTTGTGTTTTCACCTCTATGTTCTTGCAATGCACTATCCCCATTAAAATCAATGGATTTACCATTCCCTGTAAAGCATGGGTCTTCAATGTTTTTCAGGGCATGGACCCCTTAGGTGATAGAGATATGGAGCAGGGACCTCCAATACAAAATGTGTCAAACAGAGCTACATATATTAAGCATATACCCTTCAATATAACCCTTGCTCTAAAGAATCTAAAAGATCCATCATGTCCATCTGACATACAGCAGGTCAGGATGAAGAGTGAAGCTACTAACGCCTCACAGAAAACACTCTCTGGCTTTTGCAACAGCAGTGGCCTACATTCCAAAGAGCCGTGCCAGGCCTATTGCAAAATCAATACTCAACAGCCTCTCTTAACAAACACTCTGGCTCTTCCCAGTGGTATGAGAGCCACAGCCTGCCAAACCTCTGTCAGACTCATATTTGTGTTAAGTTTGAATTCAGCATTTTCCTTGTTCTCTATTTTCTCTTTCTTTTTGTCCTAATGGATGAAATCCTTGGCCTTAGAGTGGTAGCAGAGCCAAACAGCATGGCCTGCGGTCCAGCTGTTACAAAAAAAACAGTGAGGATCAGCCTGAACATGTTAAACCTGTGGTTATTTAGGTGGCTACACACAAAACACTGCTATATTAGAACAAACCAGCTCATTTCAGTGCACATAAATGTATAAGAGTATATATTTATTGCTCAAAAGAGCAGCAGTGGTTCGCCAACTAATTTTCAGCCGAGTCCAAAATATTGCATTCACGGCTCCTGCCAGGAGTGAAACCTGCACAGAAAGATTTAGTATGCCAGAAGAATGACCTTTACAAAGTCCAAGTAAAAACTAGCTCAGTCACCGTCCAGTGGCATGAACCAACTTTAAAATGCCAACAATCACTTGCTGGAAAATACATCATCGCCTTGTGACATAGCTTTATGCTTGAATGCTCGAGTACTGTATAAGTTATCAAATGGTTTAAAAGGTTTCCAAGAAGCGCTTTAATTCAGCTGCAATTATCACAAACATCCACACATTTACAGTGCAACATAGTACTTAATTATATAATTAAATGCAGAAGTTATGATTGCAAAGGATAAATGTAAGTGCAGCATGTAGTAGTCATGTAATACAACTGCAGCAACAACCAATATTTTTACTCGTTCTCATTTTCTCCAAGTAAAAACCTACCACTGAATGAACACAAGTTATGGTCAAATGAAAGCATTTCAACTACCTTGTTTTCTTTATGAAAATAAAACATTTGGGTTACAGTGAGACATTTACAGTGGAACTGAATGGGTCCAAATTTTGGATCATTTAAAAGCAGAAATGTTAACCTTATCATTTAAAAAAAAAAGCACTCATATTAATTCTTCTGTTAAAACTTGTGTATTATTTAAGTTGTAAAGCTGTTAGCAAACCATTTCCATAGCAACATAGTTATAAAATCAGCTATAACTTTACACATAAAAGGTTATCTAGTGATTTTCTCAACATAAAATCACATTAACACATATTGTGCTTAAGTCTTGTGGCTACATTTTTTAAAGTGAGTATATTAATGTTTACAGATTGGACCCATTCACTTCCAATGTAAGTGCCTCACTGTAACCCAAATTTTTTTTTTTTTAAAGAAGTCAAAATTCATTTTTGTGGTTCCCTACATTATGCCACAAAACGCTGTCAATTGAGCTTAACTCCCAAACTGAGAAAATTCCTTAAAGCCCTGAATGCTGTTAGGCAGGATAATGAAGTGCAATAAAAAGCCCACTGAAAAACAATCAAACATATCACAGCCTTTCAGACTCACCCATGTGTATATCAAGGCAGAAGGGATCCATGAAGAACAGCTACAGCTGATAGATGGTTTGTCTGAATGACGAAGGGAGCTATGCCAGCCTGCAGTGATCTCTTTAGAGAGAGCTACTCTCCTGACATGTACCTAGGACAAAACAAAAGGTTTCTTTGAGGCTCCTCTCAGAAACACACATCCATGAAATACCTTTCTCTCCACCCCCCCCAAACAAAAGGTTTCTTTGAGGCTCCTCTCAGAAACACACATCCATGAAGTACCTTTCTCCCCCCCTCTGAGCGGTCATTTAAAGAATAGACTGTCCCCTGCTGCCGATCAATCTGTTAAGAACTCTCCATTCTCTCTGAATTAGGAAATCCTGGCTTTCTTCCATTGGAAAGCTATCGAGAGTGAGCACAGCAGGATGGATTTCCAAAACAAGATTTTCTCATGCCAAGTGGCACCTCTGTGTACAATTGAATTCCACTAAGGTTTGTTTTTCTGTTTGTTCTAAGATTTCAAGAACAGGAAATATGATTAAATCAGACATGCTTGTGCCATTAAAGCTGCTTTTTTTAATTACCAAAAAGAAAAATATATAATTAACTACAATGATGTGAAGCCTATGGGAGTAAATGTATATTTACTATATCAATAACATGAATTCTTGGTCTTGGAATGACAACTGGGTCTAACACGCACCAAAATAGGCAGCATACAAGTACCATAATATTATTCAAATACATGTACTTGGAAAAGTTTCTATATATTACTTTAATGAATTTTGGTCTCTTGCTCAAACAAATATATTATAAGACACCATAAAACTTAGAATATATAATAATAATAATAATAATAATAATAATAATAATAATAATATGAACCACATTTATGGACACCGTTTGAGTTTTTTTTTTTTTTTTGTTATTTTGGACAAAACCAACA